ACAGATAATAGACAGACAGACAGACAGATAATAGATAGACAGACAGATGACAATATGTCAACATATGTCAATATGTCAAGACAACATGACAATGCTAAACAACAAAACGTAAGCAAACTATAAAAATAGTTTAGCCACAAATACAACTGAGAGGCGTTCATTTAGTACTAGAAACAATGAGTCGTACTTACGTTTGATATGTCTGTTTGTCCGAAGATAGAGCCGTGATAAAACTCCGTGTAAAGGTTATTTACTGTAGTCTGTGTGATGGGACGTCTGTCACTCAAAGGGGGAAACAGCGCCCCCACAATCACGCTTGTGGCCAAAAATATATGACACCCGTAGTGATAAGAACTACCATAGAGAATGAATGGGAAAAGTTAAGAGATTTAAGGCTTACTATTTTCGGCCCCCGCGCGGAGGGGCCGGGGTTCGATCCCGGGTGGTCCTTCTGTGTGGAGTTTGCACATTGTCCCCGTGGCAGCGTGGGTTCCCTCCGGGCTTTCGGCTTCCTCCAAAGACATGCAGCTTAGGTTATTTGGAGACTCGAAATTGCCCGTAGGTGTGAATGTGAGCGTGAATGTTTGTCTGTCTCTACATGTGCCCTGCGATAAACTGACGACCTGTCCAGGGTGTACTCTGCCTTCGCCCAATATCAGCTGGGATCGGCTCCAGTGCCCCGCAACCCTGAATAGGATAAGCGGTTTGGATAATGGAAGTTTTCTTTAATTATTATTTTTATTTAATTATGCAGATGAGACATTATCTAACGGTAACTTTTGGTGAATTTAGGAAAAAATCTAGTCTGAAAGAAGTCTGAAAGAAGACATGTTAGGAAGAGCTAAATAGTAAATCCTAAATAGTGCATGAAAAACAATGTTTTTTCCTGGTGTCTCCCCTAAAAACATGTTTTTCATGTTGAAGTCCCACACAAGATAAATGTTTTGGTCGGTTTATTGGTCAATCTGACCTGTTTCGTATACAGCTGATCACTGACTGTTAAATTATGTAATCTGTTCATGCATTTTACACAAACCACAGTCCGTTTTAAGTAATAACTGCCACTTCTTCTTGCGCTGAATTTGTCAACAAGTCTTTGGTCAGCAGTGCGCCATATTAGGATGGAAGTTAGTTGTCTTTCACTCCTATAAAGTTTGGAACACCTCTGTTTCCCCAGGCTTTTTCCTTTGGTCTGCTGCTGTGGTCCTATAACCAGCCATGCTCCTCCAGGCCGCTGCGCTCAGTGTCCTCTTCTGCTCAGTCCAAAGTTTTACTCTACAGGTAAGCATCAGCAGACAAATTATGTCTCGATAATTAGGTAAATATATATAATTTTTTTATGACACAATTTGAAATGAAATGTGATACATTCTGAAATTGAAGTCCCAAATACAGTTTTTCTTCAATAATTGTGTGTAGAGTGTAGGCCATTAATCATTTTATTATTATTTCTTTTTTTTATTTAATCGTGGGAATTTGAAATAGTTTCTTAACAAAGACAGTTTGGTAAATTGCTAAAAGCTGAATGTGATTCTGTGTTTCATTTTATACTTTGTAGTTTGTGGATTGCATTACTTTCTTATCCGATGCAGGAACGCTCAAATTTAGCTTTCTCTGCCTCGAAAATGACATTAACAAGAAATACTAGTTTCCTTTATTCCCCATATTTCTCCCGATATGCTACTTCTATGGGACCTGCACCTCCCATACCCGTGTCAAACTGAAGTTGAATCTCTGCTGGAACTAAACTTTATCTGAATTTACTTTGAAACAAATTTAACATTTTTAATTCAGTGAACTGCAACCAACTTTGTCTAATCACAGGGTCCTTTTGAAAATGGTGATGAGTACTCTGGTAAGATGTGGCTTCTTTTCATATGATACAATTCTGTAAATACATAACATCAAGTAACTGATACAAAGTGTTTCTATTCCACAGGCAACACCGTTGAGGATGACGAATTCAGTGTCTCCACGCTGTTAGAGAAGGCCAATGTTAATGTTGGTATGTTCATCACGGCAACTGCTTTATTATTTATTCATTTAAGCAAATGTACGGTAATAATAATCTAACCTTAAAGATAGGACTAAATATTGAAATGAAAAAAGTCATTAAAACATTAGAAATATTGCATGATGCTGGTGTTGCTGACAGTACTTAGACGAAATCTGAAAATATAATCTAGTGATTTGTGTACATAGACATGAATTTGTCATTATTTCGTGTCACTCAGCAACGAAAACAACATCAATGGAAATTCAGTTTGGATCAATTTTTGTGGTGGACACACAAATTAAATGCATTCACGCGACTGTGCAACGGTCAGAGCTAGTGACGTAGTATTGAATATTGAGAAAGACAAATTATGGTTGATGGGTCAAACTAACATAGGGCTTTTAATGAGGAGACTGGTGTTTGAGTCCGCATTGCCCAAAGCAGTGTTGTTAAGTTACACGTTTGTGACGGATTCTTCGACCTATAAAGTGGTTTTGTTGCCTAAACCTATCATCTGTTTAGTTCAGTCATGTTGCCCCAATTGACAGAAAAAAAACGTGTTGCAGCCACGAAAGATACTTCCAATTAAAATACATTAGTTTTAAAGTCGTGCAGAGCAAACACAAAAAAACAATTAGAACATTTTTGTCTATCTACAGGAATCAATAGTTAAAAATTTCGTAACTATTTCACGTACTGCCTTGAGACTGGGTTGGTGTGAAAGGAGTGGTTGTATCAAACCCAGAATTAACGAAGCAGTTTAATCAAGAAAATGAAATGCAGCTCAATAAAAAAGATCACAACATTTTCTTGATTATCCTCACGTCATGTTGCAGGAAAAAACTTCGATGACCCTCTGGTGATGTTTGGTGACATAGCGGTGCCAACAGATCTACAGAACGCTGATCCCTGCGTAGAACGAGGTTGCCTGTGGCCTAAAGCCACCGATGGCAACGTCTACGTGCCCTACCGCATCTCCAGGGACTACGGTAAGTACTGAGGGCAGGGCTCTTTTTTTTACCAGCTGTGACTCTTGTACAGTTTTCACCTTGTGAGTCTGTGTGTGTGAGTCATCATGGCAAAATCTGGTCCTAGAGACCTCAGCAACTACCACAGAAGTGGATTTTAAGTACTTCAGGTCAGTCAGGTGTTTATATGTCTGTCTGTCTGTGGACAAACTTTGTCACCACGATAGTTTCATAACCGTGCAAGATGCAGTCATGAAACTTTACAGGTGTGTAGTTGAGATCAATATGAAGACCACTCTAGAAGATGGGTGTGGTTCGCAGGTAGGGGGGTAGGAAGTGGGGAAGGGGCGATTGGCGGCGATTTACCATAGTTGTCATGTTAGTTGTAGGCATAGTAGCAGTAATAGGAGAAGTAAAGGTCACAGTAGCAGCAATAGCAGTTGCAGATTTAGTGGTAGTAGTAGTAGCAGTATAGTAGTAGTAGTAGTAGTAGTAGTAGTAGTAGTATGCAGCCTAAAGTAGTAGCACTAGCATTGGTAGCTAAGGTTAGTTCTTGCGGTGGTAGTAGTAGTAGTAGTAGAACTATGGGTATCACAGAAGTAGCAACATTTTTAGAAATAGCAATAGCAGTTGTAAATCTGGGTAATCTTGTAAATCTAGCAGTAGTAGTATCAGTTTATTAGTAGTAGTAACAGTATTACTATGTAGCCTATAGCCTAGTAGTAATAGCACTAGTATAGCAATAGCAGTTGTTTGTAGTAGCAGTCTACAAGCCTAGTACTAGTAGCAGAAGAAGTAATAGTAGTAGTAGCAATAGCATTAGCAGTGTAATGTTAGTTGTGGTGGTAGTAGTACTACCAGAACAGTAGCAGTAGTAGTCGTAGTAGTAGTAGGAGTAGTAAAAGAAGGCTGGAAGCAATACTAGCAGTGGCATAATCAGTAGTAGCAGTTGTAGTTATAGTAGTTATAGTAGTAGCAGCAGTACAGTAGTATGCCTAGCAGTAGCCTAATAGTGGTAGGCTGCTAGTAGTATTATAGTACTGGTTTAGTAGAAGGCTAGTATACTTTAATGAATAAATGAAGGAATAAATTGAGTGTTGCTATTATTTTAATATGAATACTTGTATAGTATTAGTGCTAAAAATCCCATTTTACTATGATGGCAGAGTGATGTAGAAGATGAAAGCAACGAAACCCACTAAACTGATTATACATGTTTTTTTGTTGTTATTTTACTGTCAAGACCGAAGAGAGAGAAATACCATCATCAAAGGTCTGCGGTCATTTGCTGCGTCCACCTGCATCCGCTTCACCCCCCTCAACGGACAGGAGGACTTTGTGGACATCCAGTCGCGCTCAGGGTAGGGACCACAAAATACGTTCCAGATATGCATTCATGAATACGATCTTATAGACCTCTATTTACACCTCGGGTCTTACAACGGAGCTTTCATCTGACTTCTCATCAGAAAAGGTCAAGAGAAGCAATGTAACTTATTCACAACGGTGCTGCTCAATCTGTTTTACTGTTTGGATGTTTTATTTATTGCTCTCTTTCAGGTGTTTCTCATTTATTGGGCGTCGTGGTAGAGGCCAGGTAGTGTCTTTGAGTCGCCGCGGTTGTGTTTTCCGGCAGATCATCCAACACGAGCTGCTGCACGCTTTGGGCTTCAACCACGAACAGACTCGGTCCGACAGGAACCAGCATGTTCGCATCTTGCTGGAGAACGTTATTCCTGGTGGGTCACATGCTTTAATTATGACTAATATAGATGGAACTTTATTAAATCATTTTGCAGATGATAGAAACAAATGGGGTCTCACAAATAACTCAACTGACCTTAATTAATGTTAAGCTCTCAAGTGAAAAAGGTTTAAGTCCCATTTTGTAGAAAGTTAGATTCCTCCATCTTTTTTGATCATAAACCAGGTCTAGGTCCTGTAGATATAGTGAAAGTATCAAAACGCTCAATCCACGGAAAAATGGACACAGCCCATATTCAGAAACGCAGCCTTTTAAAGGAGCCATCAGGACTTCCGTAAGGTTGATGTCACAAATATTCAGTCACTGGTAGAAGTGCCGCTAAACTCTGTGTAGTGGACTCACCCAGAGAGTACCCAGCTGCAGTGACGCTGTGAAGACGGCGACAGCACAGATGCAGGAGACTGGAAATGCTGACCAATCAGAACAGACTGAGTTTTTGTCGGGAGGGGGGCTTAAAGAGAGCACTAAAACGGAGCGTTTCAGACAGAGGGTGAATATAGATATATCCAGACAGACTGTATGAGAAAGATAATGGTGTTTTTGAACATAAAATCATGTAAACATGTTCTAGTAGAAACCCCAAATTCAATTATGAACCTGAAAAATCAGCATGATAGGTCTCCTTTAAGTACAAATAAATAGATCAAAATATGACTTGACATCATATCATTGTAGTAGTCGTGTAGAAGAAAAACATCTGATTGAGCTGTGTAATCCTTTGCAGGAATGGAGCACAATTTCAGGAGGATCGAAACAAGGAACCTTGGCACTCCCTACGACTACAACTCTGTCATGCACTATGGAAGGTAGCGTCTCACATAAAAACATATTCTAATTCTCAGCTGAAGCTATTAAGAGGACAGATCGAGTGGGTATCTTCCGACTTTAAATGCTCTCTTTTTGCTACCATCCCTCCGCAGCAGCTCGGCAAGGAAACACTGTCCATGAAAACATAAAGAGGGAATTCTGTTCTAAAAGGTCCATAGCTTTAGAAGAGATTTGTCTAACTCAGTGTTATGATGAGTGAGTGAGGATCCAAATGCAGGGTTTTGGCAAGAAGCAAGTGAAGCGAAAAAAGAAGGTTCATTAATGTAACCAGGAAAGAAGGAAGGAAGGAAGGAAGGAAAGAAAGAAAGAAAGAAGGTTATTAGCTTTAGATTAACTTTAGGATGGATTTTCCGCAGAAGAAGTGCTGCAGGTTTTGTCTGCCATGGCTTACATTCTTTTCCAGACCAGTATGAACTACAGGAATTATTACAGAAAACTTTCCTTTTTTTCATAATAATGTTGTTATCAGCATGTGAATATTGTTTGAAGACAGACTTGATGTTTTTTTTATTTTTTTTGGCCACATATGCCATATTCATGAGGACACAAACATGACTCTAAATGAATGATGACGTTTCTCTGTGTCTGCTAAATAAACAATTATTTGCTAACATGTCTGCTGTAACGACTTAATGAGGTGGTATTTTGTCAGAATACATGTTTTTCAGATTCTTAATGCAGCTTTAAGATTGCACCCTCAGTGGTCATTAAAACAGTCCCGATGTACAGTTTAAACCTCTCATCGCCTCTGTGTATTTTGCACCGCAGGTTCGCCTTCTCTAGGAACACGATGCCGACCATCGTTCCCATCCCCAACGGCAATGTAGCCATCGGCAGGGCCACCCAGATGAGTGCCAATGACATCCTTCGGGTGAACCTTCTTTACCGCTGCAGTACGTGTCTTTTTAAAGAAGTAGCCTACGACCTCTCCAACTAAACTTCTGTCTTACTACCTGCTACCACCAGCACTCTCTCACTCCATCTTCCTTCTGACAAACTTGACGGACATAAGTCGGATTGAACACAGATCAAAACCTGTATATGTTTATATGCATTGTAGCAGTAGCATAAAGAAACCAATCAGCTTTTACAGAGTTTGCTGTCTCTTTGAATTCATGTCAGATTCGACTGCTTCCAGGCCTGACCTGAAACCCGTGCAAAGAAACCATTTCCTCTAGAGGTGAGAGTCTGGTATCGTCAACGCGGTGTAACGTAAGTATGATATTCAGATGAGCCTGACTGTACATTCTGTCTTCAGATGGAAGTTTTCCTCTTTTTATGTTTGTAGTAGCTTTTATTAATTGCATATTCATTTTTTTCCCCGTCAATTTAGCATTTTGTCATTTTAAGATAGTGACTGATACTTAAAAATAAAATATAAAATAAAAATAATATACATTTTTCCAGTACCTGTAGCTGTTTTGGTGTGAGTTGCATGTTGATAGTTTTGGAGATCAGTCGTAGAGATGTCTGCCTTCTCCCCACTACAATGGGACTATATGGCGATCAATTGTAAGGTCTCTTTCCTGAAATCATGACCTGATTAAGACATGGTTAAGAGAGAAAAAAAATACCTTAAGGTTTGTGAATTATCTGAGTTTTTCAAATGTATTTAGCTGATATCTCTATAACTAGGCAACACACAACTAAACAATCTAGTTTGATCAAACAGCACTAAAGCTAAGAGGGAAAACACACCTTTGGGATTTTGGGATGAACTGTCCCTTTAAGGACTTTAAGCATCTTTCAGTTTGTGCATGCACAAGTGTTTGTGTGTGTGCGTGCACATGTACGCAGATTCATTCAAGGGTTTGAACGAATCCCCCTTTTTTCTTCCAACAGGAAATCAAGAGGAAATGAAGCAAAGTGATGCAACTTTTTTTTTTGTCATCTTCAAACAAAACCAGAAATGTGTCTTGTGCTTCATGAATTTGCTATAATTGAGAATTTTATGAAATTAGCTTGTGCTGTGCTAATGAGAAATAAAAATGTGTCCATCATCACAAATGTACTCCTCAATATATAACTGCTTGTGAGCTTGATACTTATAACAATAATGAATAAAAAATATGTATTCAATATCTTAACATCAGCCTGTGTGTGTTTGCTCATATTTTAATCTGCAACGATACAAGTGAAGCCCAAGGTGACCCCACATGACCTCGTTCACAGCCATTGGCATAGACCCCCTGCATGTAGCAGAGCTCACAGGTGATCAGCAGCGTTCACATTTCCTGTCATTCTCACGTTGGTGGCCTTCATGAACTGTGAAGCCCTCTTGATGAACACACACAGGTGATCAAACGTAGCAGCGTACTGTAGTTGATAAGCCGTCTTTCTGGCTTTGCTCTGAACGCCACATGCAGTATGTCCGCTCTCACACACTCACCTGTGGGGACAGGTCAATCAATTATTCTACTTATATATTATTATTTGTGAAAAAAATTAGTTAATTTCACCATTTGGTAATTTGTAGTCATTTTGTAATGGACTGTAAAGTGCTGCTTTTTTTTTGTCCATCCTCTCTGGGTACAATTACACTACATCTGTATTCCCTTTATTTTGTATTTTGTTCTGTTTAGTTTTTATTCTTTTTTTGGGGGGGGTCCTTATCCGATGTGAAGGTCCAAGGACTAGGGATGTCGTATGTTGTACGGATTGTAAAGCCTTTTGTGGCAAATTAGTGATATTGTGTGATACAAAAAAAATTGAATTGAATTAATGTAACTAAATACTCATTACGCTTTTTGAACTACCAAGGTAAGTGAATACAGTCCACCTAAATAGAGCAAATGACACAAGAAGATAAAACATTACAGTGACCCTTTTTTCCCATGACATCCGTGTGTTTTGCAAAGTATGATAGTAGATGCAACAAGTGTGCTTTTTCCCACCCTTAGTGGTTTTGAGATGTTTCCGTCTGCGTATGTGTCCAAACCATATGTGACTGATAAGCCAGTGGATTTAGCTGATCCTTTGCTTTCTTCGTACACAGATAATCCATATTTGGGCTAACCGGAGCAGTCGAACATATATAAAAACCTAGAGGGAAACCTCAGCTGCACAAGTCCACACTAAGGATCCAAGGTGAGGTCAGCTGCAAACGTCTGCAGCACAATATGAAGTAGAAAAGTGTGCGATTTCTTTCAGCTGTCTATTTTATATGTTGTTGGTTCAAACACTGTGTCTTTCCTGTGAGTGGAGGCTGTAGCTGACTCCTGTCTGTGTCCTGCAGGTCTGCTAAGGATGGCTCGCATGTCTGTGTTCAGGTTCTCAGCTGTGGCTCTGCTGCTGCTGTCCACCTGCTGTTGGGCCAACGATGAGGTAGGATCACAGTGAGAGAGGAGAGGGAGACGATGGCAGCGCAGTGAGATATCTGGTCATTCATCAACAGTTCTACATGTTAACAGAAACAATGCATGTTGAACGTCCTCTGTCACAGTCATGAACATGAACGGCCTCCTCTCTCTCATATGAAGCCGGTCGTCTTCTCCACATTCACAAAGATGCTGTTAGGAGGTTAAATAGAGCATTTATTTACACCTCAGCTGAGTTTTTAATCACCATTGTTCACTGTTTGTTAGTAGTATTTAGTTAATTTCTCACAGATGATGACACAGTTTGGGTCATATGGTGCACTTTATCTACAAAGCGTCAGGTTCTATGATGCTTAACGTGCGTCTCATATTCTCTTTATACTTCTGACAGTTTTAACGTGAACATGCTACTTTAACAAACAGTGTAACGTTGACTTTTAGCTGTAACTTCTAGTCATGTGGTTTTGTTTCTAATGTGTTTGTCTTTCCTCCTCTCATCCCACGCTGAACCTGCAGGCAGGTACAGTATGTGATCTATTCTAATGATCAGAGCTGTGGTAGCGACATGCTCAGTATTGTGACTGGTGTATTTTCCATGTAAAGTGAAACTGCGTTGTTGTTGATGTCCCTGTGCAGAGGACACTGCAGAGGACGACTCCGGGGAGCTTTCTGTCTCTGAGCTGCTGGAGAGAGCCAACAGTAATCTGAGTGAGTGAGCTGCTGTGGTCACCGTGTTCCTCCAGACAGCTGCTGATATTTCTGCTCTCTTCTTTTAGTAGCAGCACTTCAACAGGTGTCTGAGTTGCTGCTGTGATGTGTTTCAGTCCGCTCCGCCGATGACCCCATCCTGACCGGAGGAGACATCGCCATCGACAGCGAGGCCGAGAAAAACGCCGACCCCTGCACCAGCCGAGGCTGCAAGTGGGGCAAATTCACTGACGGGAAGGTCTACATTCCTTATTACCTCACCAACCACTTCTGTAAGTGTCACACAGAGGCCTGGGAGGCCTGCGCACACACACATTGTCTATTTACAGTAGGCTGTCTCTTCTAATGCAGCAACTTTGACAGAAAGGTTTTTGAAAATCTGTCAGATATTTGGGGCCAGTATGGTCCTCTGTTTTACACAGTAAACAGCTGAATGTTGTGTGCTGTGGTCCTGCCAGCCTCCCGTGAGAAGGCCATCATCACCCGTGGACTGGAGTCCTTCTCTTCCTTCTCCTGCATCCGCTTCAGGCCCTCCACAAGCAGCGACCGTGACTGGCTGAGCATCGAGTCCCAGAACGGGTAAGAAAGAGACGTCGTGGAGCCGTTTACACTCGAGAACATTTCCTCAGACTTTTGTGTTGTTCAACTCATCTCTGATCCCGTCCAGCTGCTACTCCTTCATCGGCCGTCGTGGAGGGAAGCAGGTCGTGTCTTTGGCCCGTAGCGGATGCCTCTACCACGGCACCATCCAGCACGAGCTGCTCCACGCTCTGGGCTTCAACCACGAACAGACCCGCTCCGACAGGGACAACCACATCAGAGTCATGCTGCAGAACGTTCATTCTGGTAATGCAGCTGTTTGATATTCTGATATATTAGAGAGGAGCTCTCTGCAGCTTCGTGAAAAAGTCCACTTCTAAACAAACTTGTTCAGGATTAAATGAAACACCAAATCCTGTGATATCTTGTTGTAGTCTCCTGCTTTTGAGTGGAAGTTCTGTAGCCGTCTTTGTGCTGCTTGAGAGCTGATGAGGCTCTGTAGAACCTGATCAATGACACTGTCCTTACAAGTGGACAAAAGTTTTCTTGAGCTCCTCAAAGACAGTGTGATGATGTGATGATACACACATCCATGACCATGTATTCATTACATTGATTTCCCTTAGTAAATGTCAATGTAAAAGAAAAATAATACTTTATAAGGAAAGAAATTCATCTTCTGATCTTGTTTTCCATACAAGTACAGCGAGTCTCTGGTGTCCCCTAGTGGACAAAAATAGCCTGAACAGCACATTTAATTAAATCACTGATCCTCCATGAAACAGAAGCTCATTGTGTGACTGCAGCTCTCTGAATATAAAACCAGTCAATGTGAATTCAAACCAAACAAATGTAACTTTAATATTATCTGTAATGTAATTTTCCTACTGTTTTTTTTCCAGGAATGGAGCACAACTTCAGGAAGATCGCCACCCTCAACCAGGGCACTCCCTACGACTACGGCTCTGTCATGCAGTACCACAAGTGAGAACAAGTGGCTTCACTTTGGCCCTGCTGCGTGTCTTCATACGTGTGTGTGTGTGTGTGTGTGTGTGTGTGTGTGTGTGTGTGTGTGTGTGTTTGTATGTGTGTATGTGTAGGATGCGCTGTGGTTGCCTCTAACTGCTCCGTGTCCTCTCTCAGGTACGCCTTCTCCAAGAACAACCAGCCCACCATGGTCCCCATCCCCAACTCCAACGTGTCCTTCGGCAACGCCAAGGAGATGAGCCGCAACGACATCGCCAGACTCAACACGCTCTACAGCTGCTGTGAGTGTCCACATGAACGCACTGTGAATATCCATGTTACACTATCTGCAGTCTGTGTCCATCACTCAGTTTTGACCTGATCCACCTCTGTGCTGTTCACTGTTACAGAAGAAGCCCGCTCAGATGTCCTGACAGGACGCAGCAGAGGGACGACTGTCTCCTGGTGCTCTCTGAACAGCAGCAGCTGCAGACCTGAACTCATCTGCACAACAGTCAATGATCCGACTATAAAGATACTTTGACTGGAACACGGCTCTCTCTTTGCTTTCTTTCACTTACTGAAGGGACGGCTCTTATGGTCCCAAGCCTCACTATGAAAAATTAAATATTATGGAATGAAAAATTATAATAAATGCAGAAAGTTCTTCCTGATGGTAAACAGTGTCCTTGAAACACATTTTTCATGGAGACTTTTCATTATCAAATTAATTTAATGATAGACAGAAATTATACAGGAAACACAAACACATTGATCAACATATCTAAACTCAGACTGATTATTCTGTAATAATGAGGAAGAATATTTGGTCCACTTATTCTTTAAATGTCCACTCTGGAGACAGATGTCTCTGCTTATCTTCACTGCTTTCTTTAAACCAATAGAAATGAAGGAATGTGGATGTCGTGTTTTTGGAGTGTGATGCTGGAAACACATTTATCAGATGATTCAAATGAACTTTTGTATCTTCTCCTAAAGTTACACATTCACAACTCAAAAGTTAACAACTTCAAGCCAAATAGCAAACAGTTTTTTGTATCTTTTGATAGTTTCATTTCATTCCTTAAACAATGTTCATGCTAGAGAAGCATGAAAAAAAATCACTAATTTTAGACAAAACAGTATGAATTATGAAATGGTATATTGTTTTTATCCTATTGTGTTTCCTAGTTTTTGATACAATCATAAAATGATTACAATTTATTTCATTAAATTATTAATTTGCATGTATTTGTATTTATTCATTTAATAAATTCCAGTGGGCATTGTCAGACCTATCTATGCACTTTTATGTTCTTATGTTTTGTGTCACAAATACTGAAGGCAAATAAATGTGGAGGACGACCGGTTAGCAGAACAAGCTACAGAGAGATGCTAACGATAATGGATAATGTCCCATCGAGCAAATCAGAGATCAAGGCAACAGTTTGGAGTGAAGCAGTAGAAGTGTAGTAAGAGCAGCGGAGCGCTGAAACAAGGGGAAGGTTTCTGTACAATTTAAATTAATATACGTCAAATACATAAAATAAAATAAAAAACAAAAAGATCTTGAGAAAAGGAAAGGGAACGGTACCTCAACATACTGTACATGCTAACATATTGACAAAATGCTTAATTTTTCAATGTCATATGGTCTGTTAACCTACTCGCATTTATCTACATTAGACACATCATTCATAACTAATAACCTGTGTGTGTTGTTTGCTCAACATTGAAATACCACACTCAGTGACCAATCACCTGCACCTAGAGTGCGATTACAGTCCTCTGGCTCTTGTTCCAAAATTGTCCTCCATTGTTGCACACACCAAAGAGCAAACCTAAATCCTGTTCATAGTGATCTAGCTCATTACTAAGTGATCTAATTGGTTACAGGTGTTTTTTCACAGGTGCATTCTGGGTGAAAGTGATTAAGAACTGAGTGATGGTATTTTAATGGCAGTGTTTGGCAAACAACATATGCCGGCTTTTGGTTTTTAATGATGTAGGGAAGATCAGCGTGCGTCCTACTTATAAAAGGCAAGCGCTTCATAAATGTTTTTGGTTTTTTTATTCAACAATTGCACATGTACAATTTCACAAATTGTCAGTAAGAAACGGCAAAATAGAGACATTTAAATTAACATGCCACGGGGGCAACCGCAGGGAATAAAAAATAGACAGAAATAAAAGCAGAAAAATTGAAAAAACGTAAATTAATAATATAAAGAGAAAAAGGGGACATTAAGGCACAAACTGTGATTGTGTAATTACAAACATATATCACAGGCAATGCATGCCATTACTTTCCTTATGGCCTTTTTATTTCAAATTCTTTGTAAAAAACACAAAAAAATGGGTCTTTGGCTTGTAAACTTGGATTTATGAATATAGAATTTGGCAAAAATAATAAAGAAATGTATGATATATGCTCTTTTCTCAAATGTTCTGTCATAGTTAAAGAATCCAAATATAACATGTTCATAGAATAATGAAAAATCTTTGTACAAAACATCGCTACTAAATTTTGAGATATTTTCCCATAAGGAAACAAGGAAGGTGACATGAAGGAAGAGACCGCTTTTAGTGAACAAGCAGTACATGAAGAAGAACACCAGATGGCGGTACCATCATAAAGGGGCGCTATCGACTCCTCTGGCGCAAGACGAAAGAGAAAGACTTCCTTGTAGCTCCACTGTCTCTGCAAAAATGGCGGACACGTGTGGCCAAGTCTTGCTGGGATCAGGGCTCACAGTCCTCTCCCATCCTCTGATGTACATCAAAGTCCTGATCCAGGTAAGAGAAGAAGTGCTCGTGCAGACGACGGGAAGATGTTACTGGTTAAGCAGCGGCTCGGGTCACGGTTAGCTAGCAGTTGTAACGTAAATACTGCACGACCCAACTAGCTAGCAGCTTGAAGAGCAAACTGCTGAAGTACTTTGAAAATAGCATCGATTATGAGTGAATTATTGTGCATGGCTTAAGCCCTTCCGCTAACTACCATTGGCTCTATAATTCGACGTGAACCTCGCGTTAATGCACACCAGCAAACGGCATGACAACAACACCAACTAACGGCTACTGTATTGGTCCGTCTTCTGTCCCGATGACCTTCTGTTAACAAAACACTCGGCAGTAGGCGGAAGTGAGGTGTGACAGACACTTATCAAAATTCATACTGTATTAATTGTGCTGTTTTGTTCATTTTCTGTACTTGTCATGTACCAGAACACGTCCTGTCACATATTCCCAGATACATAAGTTAGGTTTTTATTACCAACAATCTAATTTTGCGAGACCTAACAGCTAGTTAACGTTAGCTGTCAGCCGACCAGCTCTGCCACTGCTATCTAACATTAGAGCTTCTATGTTGCTGCATTTTAGAACAATTTCCCGGAGTGACAAAGCGATTAATAGTTTACATTCCTGGGACAGTCACACACACAGTGGCTTTGTTGACCTGTTTAACAGTAAGTGGAAGGTCGGGGACTCTTCTGTCATTTACTGACCGGCGCCCTTTGGCCCACTAAAATAGCTCGTAAGCTAACAGATCTGTTGCTAACTAGCTAAAGTCAACGTTAATCAGTAAGCCAACTTGATACAACGTTAGCTGTACGGTCAAAATTTGTTTTACGTAATAGCACACAGAGAGACGCGTGTATCGCGGGGAGACGGAATTTATTCAACTGACGAAGTGAACAAAATATTGAGACAAAAAAAAAAAAAGTTGACTAAATGTGTCAAAGAAACTAGGAAGGTGTGGAAGAGTCTCTTTGTGGAGTTGAGGCACATGACGAAAGTGCATATCCAGCTAGAGTAATCACTTCTTCTTATTGTTGTGTGTCTGATAGGTAGGACATGAGCCACTCGCTCCCAGCCTGGGCAGGAACCTGTTTGGCAGACAAGTCTACCAGCTGCCAGGACTGTTTGCTTATGGTGAGTGACTCTCCACATTAAGCCTTGTTCAGAAAAGGAATCTGTGACATTTATTACAGCACTCTGAAGCGGTCAGGACGAGATGGGCTTTTAATGTCTCTCTATGGTTGTTTAATCTTGTAGCTCGTACTTTTACTGTGACAACTCTGTCTGTCTTCAGCTGTGTTGGAAGTGTTTTTGAAATTGTATGAGACCGGATTGACACATGACATGAAGTTGTTTTTATTTTAGGTCCCTAAAAGTATACATGTCTTTGTACTTAAAACTGTAATTACAAAAGCAGCCAAAGCCTCTGGAGTTCTCCTGGTTTCTAGTTTAATTTAATTTTGGTTATGATCCCTTTTTTAAAGTTTGGTTCATTAGTTTATTCTTGTTTATCAACAGATCGCAAACTCAGAAAAAGTTAATTTATGTTTGACCGCTGCGTGGAATCTCTTTACAATCTAACAGGGACAAACTCTCACGTTGAGATCATCGGTCACATTTAAATGTGCAAATGTTAATTCCTTCGAGCGATCACTAACAATCTGAGATCTTAAATTTAAGTTTTTAAAATGACATGATGGGGATTTCTTTATGCATCTACTTGATATGAACCTCGTACTGTTTTTCGGCCTTTCCTAACTTCTTCTGCTGTGTGTTTTCCGACTGTTCCAGCCAAACACATCATGAAGATAGATGGAACAGTGGGTCTCTTCAAAGGGCTCGGGCCAAGGCTCTGTGCCGGCTCCATCGGCACCATTGTGCACAGCACTGTTGTGCAGGTAGGAATGATCAAGTGCGCCATGAAAAGTATGTCATCATACCTACAGCTTGTTCTTCAGATGAAAGTATGTAATCGCATGCTTGTATGGCAATAAGTATCATCCTGAAAGCATTTACTTTAACGAAACAATTCATTTTGATTTATTTATTTTTTTCTTTATTTTGGGACAGCAGTCTAAATGACCATAATTCATACCTCAGGTCAAAAGCAGTTTAATTCCTCTGCAATGCAAATGTTTGCCAGAGGGAGGCTTGAGAATATAAATCGATGTGGTCTGCTGACGGGTATAGCATTGTAATGTTACAAATGTGACACATCAAGTCTTTATTCACAAGGGCAATTTTATCATGTTAACCTCTAGTTTCTTACAGAAATGTCAAGAGCACGGCACACCTCAGGTAAGAGCTTTTTTTCTGATTTATTGTTTGAACTCCAACATTAATATTGTTTAAAGACGGGTGGAGCTGAGGTTTGATTCTGTCGTCCAGGTACTGGGAGGTCAGCAGAAGGCTGTGGAGGGCTCCCTACAGCACGTTGTTAACGAGGTAACGCACTGGCACAGTTACAATGAGGGGCAGCAACACACCAAGCAAGAGCCAACTCAGGCCACACAAGTGTCTGTTCTGTTTAGTGCTCTACACTTCATTTAATATAGAAGTCAGCCTCTGTGTTTTTACGAAGAATCTAACGGCTCAGCTGCCCTTCAGCATGCAGCTCAACAAAGTCCTCCCACAACTTCTTTCATTGTGGTCTGGCAAGTTTATTTATTTATTGCTTAATTTGATAAGGGACAGTGCACATTAATAAGAGTTAGCCAAGAGGCTATTTGTCATCTGTAGTCCCAAGAGGCAGATGTTACAAAGTAAACCTAAACCTTCGGTTGGTCCTTATCTTTAGGCTGCACAACATCAGACTGTTTATTTCATTACTGGAAAATGTTTTATTTTGACTAAAAGTGAATTAATAGTAATGACTTATCAGTGACTAAAACTTGGAAGGATGTGACTAAAACTAAAAAAAGCTTCTCGTCTAAAGACTAAATCAAAAACAGCAGACAAAGTTAACGCTGCACAGTTGGTAACGCTTCAGAAAGTACCAACAAAGGCCTCGAAGAAGCTGTCAAAAACAAGTAAACAATCCAAAAAATGTATGAGACATGTTTGTTCGACCTCAAGGATGCACATGTTTAGAATCTAAAATAACTAAGTTTAATGTTCTGTCTTTGCCATTATATCCATCTTTCTCTACCTTATGCATCCGTACTGAGTGAGATACAATTTGTGAATAAACATTTTTGAGAGAGCGGCGGATGAATTGTTATGAAGGTCTGGGGATTGTTTTTCTATTGGTGCAGAAAAAAAGATTTGAAGCTTCAAACTCAGTGACATCATTCTGACGCCTTCAGAACTTACAGCAGTCCGTCAAGACTTGAGTCATACAAGCCCTGTTTAAAAAGAAAAAAGATTTGAGTCTCTTATGTGTGCAATAAAAATCCTGCATTGTGTCGATATTCATTAAATTAGCTCATTATTAGTAGTTATCAGGTGGAAATGTTCTCCTACGTTGTGGCGTACATGGCCACATTTCTCAGCTACTCTTCTTATCCCACTAATGTGCCGATCTCAAAGTTTAGCTGCAAAGCTTTCTGAGCTGTCAAACGGAGCGCTTCACAGGCGTGAAACAAGCTACCGAGAGTCGGTATCATCTGCCCATCTCCATTCATTGTGTTACAGGTCAATGGAAAATGTTTTCTATTTACATCAAGAGGTACGCACATTTTATCAGTCGGCACTGTCTCCTCTAGTTCAGGGGTCTTCAACGTTTTTCAGGCCAAGGACACCCAAACTGATAGAGAGATGGAGCAGGGACCCCCGACTATATATCTATATCTATATCTATATATATATATATATATCTATATAT